CAAATAGGGAACCTCTCCTTTCTAAGGGGAATCAACCTTGCAGAGAATGACTTTCAGGGCGAGATTCCTCAAGAAATTGGCCGTTTATCCCGGCTGAGATTTCTTAATCTAAGCAACAATGCTTTACAAGGGGAAGTTCCAGGTAATTTGAGCTTTTGTTCTAGTCTTGAAGTTTTGAACGTGTCTTACAATATGCTTGTAGGCAAAATCCCAAATAGCTTGGAAACCTTGGGGGTGAAGAGGCTAAATACTCTCTTGCTCAAATCTAATAACTTGACAGGAACTATCCCAAAATGGCTAGGAAATGCTTCTTCACTTGTTCAATTGTCATTAGTAAGTAATGAACTACATGGAAGCATCCCTGTTGAGCTCCAAAAACTCCCAAATCTTTCAGTTTTAGGAGTTAGTGCTAACAATTTATTTGGTATCATTCCTCCTGCTATTTACAATATATCCTCACTCATTTCTCTTCTCTTAGCATTCAACCAATTTCATGGGCAAATACCAAATGATATAGGTTTAACCCTTCCAAATCTTCAAGCCATTCTTTGTGGAGGTAACTACTTTACTGGGCAGCTTCCGGTTTCATTGTCGAATGCTTCACAACTGATACAAATCGGATTTGAATTCAACAATTTCAATGGACCTGTGCCTCCGAATCTAGGAAGATTGAGTGCTCTGAAAAAATTGACTCTTCAAGGAAATCAATTAGAAAACATGGAGGGAGACGACTTCAGTTTCTTAGCTTCTTTGACTAATTGCAGTGAACTCTCCATGCTAGTTTTTGCTCAAAATCGTTTTAAAGGTCATTTGCCTACTTCAATTGCTAATCTTTCAAGGACGCTTGAATTTTTGGGTATACAGAGTAATCAGTTTTCAGGTAGAGTACCTGATGAAATTGGCAACTTGATTGGCCTTACATCATTGATTTTCTCTCAGAACTTCTTCACAGGTGAAATTCCAAATGGTATTGGCAGACTAAAAAAGTTGCAAAAACTTTGGTTATCTGATAACCAACTTTCAGGTACAATTCCCTCCTCAATTGGGAACCTCACCCAGTTGCTTCATTTGCATCTTGAGGGAAATCATTTAAAAGGTGAAATACCTCTTAATTTGGGAAATTGTAGAAATCTTTTCGAAGTCTACCTGTCTCATAACAACATTACTGGTTCCATACCAAAAGAAGTTCTAAGTTCTACTATCATAATTTTAGACTTCTCAGGAAATTTCTTATCTGGGTTATTGCCTCTAGAGCTAGGAAATATGACCAAACTACTTGCTTTGGGCCTTTCCCACAATAGATTATCTGGAGAAATTCCAAGTACTTTGGCAAATTGTCTTATGATGGAACAACTAGATATGCAGGATAACTTATTTGTGGGTAGCATCCCATCCTCCTTAAGTGCTTTGAAAAGTCTTCATTACCTTGACCTTTCAAGAAATAATTTGTCTGGACAAATTCCAAAATACTTCCAAAATCTCACCCTGCTACAGTATTTGAATTTGTCTTTCAACAAATTTGAAGGAGAGGTTCCATATGAAGGAGTCTTTGGAAATGCAAGTGCAGTTTCAGTTGTTGGAAACCAACACCTCTGTGGAGGCATTCAGAAGCTTGGACTCCCTCCATGTAAGGTCCAAGGCCTAAAGAAGAACAACAAGTCTCACAATCTTAAAATTGTGATTCCAGTTGTTTCCTGCTCAATCTTATTAGCAGTTTTTCTGTTTCTGATTTTTTTTACTTGGGCAAGGAGATCCAAGAGGAAAGCCCCTTCAATGTTGCAAATACAAGAAACATTTCCAAAGATTTCTTTTGCAGAGTTAAGTCAAGCAACTAATGACTTCTCATCAGCTAACTTGATTGGCGAAGGAAGTTTTGGCTCTGTTTAT